TTTTCCACACATTCTTTACGCACAAGCACACAGAGACGTTACTAGAAACCAGTATATGACTTTATGGGCAGTTGTGCTTTTCTTTATTTATCGCTTCCCAGGTTTCTATAATATTCTAAAATCCATAAAGATTATTCTTAAAATATGTTCAGATTTATTTATTTTGCATCAGTGAGTGTTTTACCTATGTGTATGCATGTGCACCACGTGCATGCAGCACCTCAAGAAGTCAGAAGACAGCATTGGATGCCTTAGAACTGGAGTCACTGATGGTTGTGAGCCACCGTGGGTATGCTGGCAAGCAAACCCAGGTCCTCTGCCAGAGGAAGCAGTGCTCTTTATGGCAGAACTTTTAATATCATATTCTGTAGAATTATAATTCTCAAAATTATAGAAAATACACTACACAGACTATCCTCTCCTTAGAGACTTACATATTAACCTATGTATAACATTTTCAAGATGTTATTTGTTAAAAGAACGCATGCTCCCTTTGTTTAGTTGAATCTACTGTATCCTAAATTGTTTAAGTATGTAACCTTAAAAGTTCAGTATCATCTCGGGTACAAGTTGTTTCTAAATTTGATAACCAGTGTAAAACTGCTATGCACAGTTCAAATTTGCTTGAAATGGCAGTTCATACCTATAATACCAGCTTTAAATGTTACTGACATTAAAAGAGTGAAAAACATTGTTCATCCTGATTTAATGGAGTCTCCTGTGTACTTCTCTGTTTGCACATAGATGCTTGGATACTACCCAGTTTACATGCTTCTGCCCTGGGAGCAACCTCAACAAGCGGTCACAGCATCTCCCCAGCAAACAGGGCCGCAGCTATTTGAGGAACAGGTACTATGAGGGTTTGGTTTGAATCTGATTGGTCTAATTTCAGAAAGAGGTAAGTACCCTGAGAAAAGAATAACTGAGGCTGGTTAGTGCATGTGCTCTACTCAGTCACTTGCACTCACAGAACAGGACATGGTGTCTCTCCTAGTAGCACACTGTAGACTAATGTGGCAATACACGACTACTCAAGGAATGAAGTCAGTAAATGATTCTAATAAAACCAGGTTCAAAACTGATTCTTTTCTGAATTGGATTTTTCTCACATTCAGAATCGACAAGTACTCATCATTTATGTATAAATACACATATGTGCTTATTATGAAAATACAAAAATATGAAAGACTGCAAAGAAAAGTACTTGTGGTCACTAGAATTTGAAGCACAATTTGATAACCATGTATTTCAATTTCTAAATCTAGCACAAATTTTGAGAAGTTAATTTAAGTTCAGATGTCACATGATACGTGTTAAAAGATGTCTTAACATTTAATGATGATTTTTGCAAACTAAAACGTGGACTTCCAAAACGCATTTAATTAATGTGAAATATATTTGATGTTAAGTAATTGTGTCTCAGAAATTTATGACAAAAACTATCACAATAAATCTAATACCTTTTTCAAAAATATAACAGATACCATTCTATAATCAATTTGGATACATACCACAACAAGCAGAACCTGTGAGTAAATGCATAATTTTATTATCTAAAACTATATTTCATACTTGGTTCTCTATTAAACACATGGGTATCTTTCAGATGAAAAACACCAAGAACACACTTCTAGATGGATGAAGTCAGAATTACCCACACATTGCTATGGGGACACACATAAGAAACCATAGAAAGATTTCTTATATGGACTTGCATGAACTTAGAGAACTTACATTGGATAGTTTTAGAGAGAGAACCCTCAAGTAGTAGTTAGCTCAGGAATGGGCATGCTCAGGAAGTAGGGGTATTCTCTGAATGTCTTCAGGCATTAGACAGAAGGTAATGGAACAAGTCTGAGGCTGTAACTGGAGAGCAAGTCATTAGTAGTAGCCAGGATATAAGGACACTTGTGCTTAGTCTCTTATGCGTCTCTTTCAGTGACATTAGAAAGTCTCATATTCCAAACTTCATCATGTTCAGAAACTGCCTTCCTTGAGGTCAATGCTTTCCAGACTTCCAGACCTGAAGCAGAACAGAGTGTCAGAATAGCTCTCTCCCACTCACAGTTGCTTTTCTTTTTCTCAAATCTAAACTCTTAACTTAAGAAGTTGGGGTGTGCTTCAGTGCTTTGGTTGGCAAAACAATGTATACTGATCCATTGCGGATTTAGACATCTTTAACTTTCTGCCTCTTCAGGATGTGCAAGGAGGACAGCAGCATTTAGCTTTTGAGTCCTTTGTAGGCACAGCTCCTGAAACTCCTGGAATGGTAAGATTCCCTACAAAACCTTGCAGTACCTGGAAATTGGCAAGTGAGAACTTAAAAATTCCTTCAGTGGTATTCATTTTAATGTATGTGTCTTAGGGTTTCTATTACTGTGAAGAGACACCATGACCACAGCAACTCTTATAGGGAAAACACTTAATTGGGGTGGTTCACTTACAGTTTCAGATGTTCAGGCAGGAGCATTGTAGCATCAGGCAGACATGGTGCTTGCTACATCTTTATCAGAAGGCAAGATGGAGTACATTCAGACACTGGGCAGTGTCTTGAGCATAGGAAACCTCAAAGCCCAACCCCACAGTGACACACTTCCTCCAACAAGGCCATTCCTATTCCAACAAAGCCAGACTTCCTAATATTGCCACTCCCTCTAAGCTTATGGGGGCCAATTGCATTTAAACTACCACATATTGTTACATCAACAATTATTGACCTTGTCCCTGTAATCAGTGTTAGTCAAGATCTAAATCATTCAGTTCCTCAACCATTTACTGAGAAACTTTTTCCAGGAACTCTTCTGAGCTCCTTATTTAAAAGCTGAGGCACTACTGGTAGTTGATGGCTTGGAGAGGGAAGTCATTTTTCTTTGGTGGTGTAGTCACTGATAGTTAACCCATGCATTAATGGATGACACACACCAATATGTCTAATAACATCATTAATTGAATGCAGTGGGGTACATTAAAAAAAGAAGAGGAGGAGCAGAGAAGAGGGAGGAAAAAAGAGGAGGAGGACCAGAAGTTGAGAGGTAGCTGTGTGCTAGGAGACTCCAGAGGAAGTTAGAAGGGAAAATGATGGGGTGGATATAATCATAACACTTTGCATACATGTATGATATTCTCAAAGAATAAATTAAAAGTAGTTCATATATAACCATATTTGTGAAATAGAATCACAACCTTTCTAAGGCAGTTTATGAGCTAAAAAACAAATAGTAAAGACACATATTGTTTAATGTGATGCCTCTCGACCCTTCAGATTCATATTCTCCCCAGTTTTGAACATCTTCTTGAAGATGTAACCGCTTTGTCCTGTTCTTCATCTCTACAGCCAACAGAAGGAGGGCCTCTGTATTCACAAAGAGAACCAGTCAACTTTAAGCGTGACAATGCAGGAGTTTTCATGCCTTCCACTTCACCAAAACCGAGCACCGACCATGTTTTCACTTCTGCCCTAGACCCAACTATTGCTCCAATTCTTCCAGAACAGAAGGTAGAGCGACCAAAGATTCATTTTATGAAATTAATTGTTCTCTTATCTAATGAGAACATAATTTATAAGGTCAAACATTGTAATAAAGGTAAAAGCAATACAATATATGGCCTTAACTCTGGATAAAAACAGCTGAAAATATTATTTTAAATCAATGCATCAGAGTGTAACTTGATTTTAATTTTAATATGAGCTTCTTGTGAATTTTCTTTCTCACTAGGCCAAGACTGATCACCTAAGAGAACCATAAGACATTGTCTTAATCACTTGGAAGTTTTGGTAGGTATTTTTGCCAAAGTTATGGCTTAAATGCCCTGATAATTCTTACAAAAAAAATTCATCAGAAAATTAACAAAGAATTCTTAGCATAATGATTGTGGAGAAACAAGTTAGTGTTTATATCTGTCTACAAAGACCATACCAATTATAAGATTTACCTAAGTCTTAAAAATCAAAATTAACTTTTTATAATCATAACTGCCTATACTATAAATTTTATATGAGTCACATAAATATTGCTTCTATATAAAAAGTATATTGTCACATAAATATTGCTTCTATATAAAAAGTATATTGCTTCTATATAAAAGAACTTGCTTGCTCTCTACATAGTCAGTACTCTCAAGTCATCTTTTCACTTTGCAGGTTAAACATTGTGATAATGTCAATATCCCCTTGTTTTAAATAAAGTATTAAAATAACAAAAGAATTTTATAATGACAGAACAATTTCAAAATTAATTAATTACTAAATATACTACATATAACCATGGTTAGATGTTTGTCTAAATGAACTTGATTGGATACTGAGGCTACATTATTAGTTTATTAGAAAGGCATCCTTGAAATTACACTACAAATAAAAACACACATAGAAAGGCAAGCAATGTCATTTAATGAGCAAACAACAATAAAGTGTTTCCAAATTCTTATGAGCCTATTCCAACTCTTCTGGAAGAAGCAACATTGAACAGTCTTCAAATGAAAAGGGCCACTAGGAACACAGTCAGCAGAGAAGAGCATCACTAATGTGCTGTTGTATCATACAAACCAATTCAAGTCATTGCACCAAAATTTGAAAGGTATTTCAGTACAATGTGCACTCTGATCAGTGTAGAACTTCCAGTGCGATATTTTTGTTTCTTTAACAAGCAATTTCCAAAAAAGCTAAACAATTTTATTCAAAGGAACCTACTAGTACTGAAATTCTATACTCTCTTACTTTCAGGGAGAAGATGTGATGGTATCTTGGCTATATTTTAGATTATTTTCCTCTTCTATGCTAAAAGAAATTTGTTTAATGGTATAAAACCTCTTCACTAGTCTCCTAATTTTTCTTTACTTATTATATTCTTCAAGTCATCCAAAATAATGCATCATGTCATAAGTCTTATCTTTACAAGGCTGTTTTTATCAAACATTCTGTGAACATAATTATGTAATCTAGAAAATGACAATACTAAAAATAAAGCTCATAATAGCAAATTAATTTGATAACTGTATTAATAAAGGATGTCTCTAAAATTGTGTCATTCAAGAGAATAAATATGTACTGTTAACAGGTTTATGATGAGTGGGTGATTGGTAATAATGAGATAAACTATGTGTCTACTTTTCTTATGTCAACATCCAATTATTTTTCCCAGCTCACTCTGTCAGCTTGCTTATGATTCATTCTCCATGAAAATCAACTTGTTCTCTCAACTTCAGGCCTTCAGCAAAATTTACCAGAAAATAGGAAATTTGGCATTTGATATACCTTACATGTGTGTTGGTAGATGAATGTTATCTTAGTTGGGGTTTCTCCTGTTGTGAAGAGATAACATGACCACAGCAACTCCTATAAAGAGAAAATATTTAACTGGGGTAGCTTACAGTTTCAGAGATATAATCCATTGTCATCTTGGTGTCCTGTGGTAGCATGTAGGCAGACCTCAAGTGCTGGAACAGAAGCTGAGAGTCCTACATCTTGACCCCCAGGCAATAGGAAGTGGTCTGAGACACTGGATGTATCTTGAGCAGAGTAGACCTCAAAGCCTGCCCCCACAGTGACACACTTCCTACAAGAAGGCCATATCTACTCATACAAAGCCACACCTGCTAACAGTGCCAGGCTCTATGAGTTTATGGGGGCCAATTACATGTGAATCTGCATACATTAAAAATGAGTGAAGGAGCTAATAAATTCATACACATTTATGTTATTTAAAAAATTTTGTGTTTGAGGTTCTACAGTTGATCATGCTGTTTCTGAACTTAATAGTGTTGTAACTCTAGAAGCTACTACTTGCTCTTTGGAAGAGCAACCCAGTAATCACCTACTGTGCCTTCCTTTTATTCTGTGTACTTTTCTCTGAGTTCATGCAATTAAGTAATGCTTGACAGAGCTCTTAAAATCAGATGTGACAAACACTGAGAAGTGTAATAAACCTCAGGTGTTCAGCAGCTAAGAGCATTGTGTTCCCCAAATTCCAACCATTCAGAAAATCATTTTTAAATTTACATGATGTAATCCAAATCAAGTACTGAAATACAACCTAGGATACCCTATACCAAGTACTCAGTTTTCAAAGAAAATACAGTTAGAGGGATACCCACAAACTGGAGAGGAAAGAGGAGTATGATACAGAATCCCTGTTCAAGACAATGGACAACGTTAGAAAAATGGTAAAATCAAGTGTGACTCTGGATCAACTTGAGGACTTAGTGATATTAGGAATGTAATTATAAACACAGTTTCTCATGACCCCCAATTATAAAATTATTTTCATTGCTATTTCATAACTGTAATTTTTCTAGTATGAATCATAATGTAAATATCTGATATGTGACCCCTATGGAAGGGTCATTCAACCCCCAAAGGAGTCATGACCCACGGGTTGAGAACCACTGCCCTGTCCTTCTGCACTGACCTGGTAGGTGGCTGACTTGGTAATTGTTTGTCAGCAGTTATTTCTTTGATGAGGAGTGAGATCTACATTTATCTGTAGTATAAAAGCAAGTAATTTAGAATGCAGTTAGAAATTATACTGTTAAAGAAAGTAGATAAAAATAGTAGATTCCCTCTAAGATCCATGGCCCCACTATCCATGAATAGTTAGCTAGGTTTATAGTACTAGGCATGATTCCCCTCCTGTTATCTGGGACTTGAGTCCAGTTAGACAGCAGTTGGTGCCACTGATGCACCTTTAAGAATATCTTGCCATGCTGGTCATTGTTTTGGCAGAGACATTACAGCTAAATAGGACTATTGATTGATTTCCTCCATTAGCAGCTTGCATATTTACTTCTCATACCACAAAAGTTCATTCTTAGGGAGTAGGTTTTTCTGTCAGCTACTGCCCAAATACTCCCAGTGTGGTCTCTTCAGCAATAGAGACTTATTTTCAACTTGGAGGAAGCAACCAAGGGCTATAGCAAAAAAAAAATTGTTTTAGGAATCTAACTCCCCTGAACAACGATTTGAAAGAAAACAGTTTCTCATGCCTAATACTAGGGTTTTATAGGATAATCCATGGCTCTCAGAGAGAGTACTATCACCCCAAGTGGTCTAATTTCACTATATGTACATATAGAAATGTGATGTGTGTGTGTGTGTGTGTGTGTGTGTGTGTGTGTGTGTGTGTGTGTGTGTACAGACTTACATTGCTGTAGGCAATTTTAGATAAATATAAAATAAAGATTATGTCTTTTTCAAGAATTCTTAGTGTTTCCTATCCCTCATCTCACTCTCCTTCTTCATTTTCCTTCCTCCCCAATTAACCTCCCCCCATCTTTCTCCCCTCAATATCACCTGTACCATGCTATTCTGCTCTCTAGAGGTCACTTCCCCTCCCCCAAGTCCCTTTTCCTTGTCTTGTTTTTGCATATTTTTACATCAGGATATTCGAAGCTGGGAACCACAGACGAGAGAGAGCATAAGGCAGTTGTCTTAGTTAGTGTGGATAACCTCACTCAATGTATTATTTTCTAGTTCCATTCATTTACCTAAAATTCATGAGTTCATATTTCTGTACAGCTGAATAGTATTCCATAGTGTATATGTACCACATTTTCATTGTCCACTCATCAGATGAAGGACATTGAGGTTGTTTCCATTTCTCAGCTATTGTGAGTAGAGCTCAAAAGAACATGGCTGAGCAAGTATCTGTAGAGCAGGATATTGAGTCCTTTGGGCACACACACACTAAGGGGTGGTATAGCTGGGTCATATGGTAGATTTATGTTTAACTTTTTGATAATTCTCCACACTAATTTCCAGGGTGACTACACCAGTTTGCCACAGTGAATGAGGACTCCCTTTCCCTCGTATTCTCTCCAGCATTTGTTGTCTGTTGTTTTATTGATCTTCATTCTGAGTGGAGTAGAACAATATCTTTTTGTCTTTCAGGTTGTTGTTTACTTGTCTATATACTCATTTTAGTCTTATCCCTTAGTTCCAATGCAAAACTAAGTTCTACCAACATGGTCTTTATAGCTCTCATGTTGCCTGTGTGCTGTGTCAATACAGGGTGCCAAATGCTCCTGATTAGAAGGTCTCTTAAGTTCTAAGTCTTTCACTAAACCAGTGGATTCTGTAGAAATCTCTGATCAGCATTTCAGCTTCCTAGCTCATTTCCTCTGGGCTCCTCAAAACCTTGCCTTACTCATACATACTTGAGGATAAACCAGGGATTTGAGCACAGTCTACACACCTTGATTCTCACCTCAGAGTCTTCCTCACTTACAGAACTTTCTACATGGCCCTAGCCTGGAAATTTTTTTTACCTTTGATGTCTCAGGCTGCTGTGACTGTAATTTCATCATAGAGGCCTAACTGTCTCTACCCCTAAACATGAGTAAAGCCAAGAAAGAAAAAGTCAAAACAGTGTGGACATTACTCTTTTTGGCAAGTGTTAATTTCTTTGGGTTTTTGCCATTTCTGATCATTATACCTCTCCCTGTCCCATCTCTCTCCATAAAGATCATACTGTGTAGTCCAGGCTAGTCTGTACCTACTGTGTAGCATAGGATGATTTCAAACCCCCAATAATCCTCCTGCTTCCGCCTTTCAAAAGCTGTAATTGTGTGTGAGAGCTGTCATATCCAACTTTTATTGTTTTGCGAGAATGAAGTAAGTGCTAAAATAAGACCCTTCTACTATCAGAGGAAAGACACTCACATTTCCAAGTATTTTTTTCTTGTATGTATTTGCTGAATTTATTTTTCTCTTCACTATCACTCCTGATCCACAGGTCACCCTCAGGAGAACAGACTAAATGTGACCTGTGATAGCATAAT